TTATAATCGAAATTAAATGATTTAAACTACAAATAAAAATGATTCAAACAGTACTAGTTTTTAGGTTCAAATTCGACTGCTCTAGTGGACGCACGGAACGGCAACGTCGCAGTCGACCCATATTATTTGAATTATTTGGCGGGAAAATAGTTTTTGGCTTTTAATTCTGAAACTAAGAGGCCTAGAGATTTGAAATTATGTCTCGTGTGTACTTCAATTATAACGAATTATTTGATCTTTAAAACGCAACTCTAACTTATACGGTTTTAATAATCCACCGTGTGTTACGTGTCACCAGCTTACACATACGTATCGGTTCGTAGTTCGAAAACGGTTCGAAATAAAGCTTTGAAAGATTTGAAGTCGGGTTTTTTTATTCGACTTTAATTTATGAGATATAAAACATTGATGTAGCTTAAATATTTACGAAGATACAGATGTGTAAGCTGGAGACACGGTACTCCAGCTTGCACATAGTTTTTTGATCGTGGTTTTAACAGTATTTGAACTAAAGTCTTGAAAAGTGGAAAGCCTACTATTTGGATTCGACTGTAATTTTTGAGGTATAATACATTATCGTAGCATAAATATTTACGAAGATACAGATGTGTCAGCTGGAGACACGTGTCCTCAGCTTACACATAGAAAACAACTCATAGTTATGAAGTTCTAATGGCTCTAATTGAATGACTGAGAGGTTTGATGACTCTAATTAGGCTTTTAATGATGGTATACTTGGAATTGCTCTAGGGCCAATGAGGAAGTTGGAGACATTCTCATTAGAATTAATAGTCCAATGCTTTTTTAAAAGGTCAAAATATCTTGTACCCTTTGTACATAGTAGTAACTTACATAATTATCTATGACGCCAAATTCGTATTTCGTTTGACTCATTAATCTCTCAAACAAAGACACTGAAAGACAAGAGGATTTCGTTTTTACAGAATCTTTTTATAAAACGTTCACAATTTTTCTTTTACTTATATTAACAAGAAATAAAGCAAATTGCCCGTAACTATCTGTCGTAAAAAGTTAAAGCTAAAATCACTCTAATTTAGCTTCAAAGCCGCGCTGCAAAGGTGACACAAATTGTAAGTTTCCACGCATTTTTCCTTGCAATTTTCGCGTCAATCGTTCGGAAACCCGTTCGAAAGCCCGGAGCTACCGTTTCGTCTCAGTTTCTGAACTGTAATAGTCGATAATATCCCGCGATGAGTTATGATGACGCCGCACAATAGTCGATAGTTTACGAGATTCGATAGCCGCCGTGATAAGTACGCAACACTAAACTTTTTTTAGGAAAAACTTTAAGTTAACGTCATTTATTTAGGTAACTCATCTGAGTGCCATTCTGAAAAAACTAGTTTAAACAAAGACCTTCCATTCCACTACCATACCTACCCTGAAAATGATGGTTTCGATTCTGCTTGAATTTTGAATCAATCGCTATTATTATTTATGTATTAATTTCTAAGTTTTTAATGCTCCTTGACGGTATGCAAGAGAATCGGAGATATTTGATTCAAATATGTCAACTCATTCGTTTTCATTAAAATTATGTACCTACTTTTGTAACCACATGGCAAGTTACAAACGTTGCTATTTCCCAAACGTTGCTATTTCCAATCCCGTGTAATCAAATGTTGCTCGGTTTAAGTTTATTGGATAATTTTATTTTATTCGTTTTAGGGCTGATTTTTCAATCGTCAGATAACTTTTAACTGAAGAATAAGTTTGGCACATTGACAGTTTCAATATGGGAAATATATCAAAATGACAAGGTTATTCTACAGATAAAAGTTATCTGACGATTGAAAAATCAGCCCTTAAGTCAACTAATCTATTAATCACCATGTCCACTGTCCAGGGTAGCTTTGCAACAGGTTAATAATATTTATGACACATTGGTTATGCTTGTAACTTGTAAATACCGCTAAAGTGTTAATATAGAGTGTTATTAACATACGAGTTTTGTAATTAATAAATTATAGAACTTGTTTAAGCTTGGATGAATCATGTCGCTGTCAGAAAACAGATTTATTGGTATTTAAATTGGTCATTCATTAATAATACTCATGCATGCTGAGTAATATTATAAATTATTGACTAACGCCCATTTCCCATATTCAATCCTTGTACAAATCCGGATTTCAACTGTCAAATTTAATTTAGGTTTAGACATCTACAATAATTTACGATGCGTTTACACTTAAATATTGTTTAAATAGTCCTTTAAACAATATGAAAATGTAAAAATAAAATAAAAAACCGCAGATATTTTGACCAAAAACATATTGAAATTTGTATGTTACATATCGTACACAGTACATACATATGTTAAAGATAGGAAGAGGTAGATACTATTAGGCAAAACAGACACTATTTCAGGCAAAGAAAAGCATAATGGGCAATATCTTATATTAGTGTCTTTCTACCCTTGGCACAAGTGCCCATATTGTGTTATAACTGCCTCATTTTACCTCAAAACATTTGCTTTAAAGTAAGACAACGTTAATACCGTCCCTCTCTTATCAGATACAAATAAATTGATTCCACTATAACCTCATACATCGAAGTAAACATTTGGCCGTAAATTTATAGCAGCTGGACGTGATAATGTAGCTATAAATAAGCTGCGAGATGAGTTATAACGGCTTTCTGTACAATAGCGCTTACTATCGCCATTGTACAAGGTGAAGCAGTAAGTCTGGTCATTACATTGAGAATTCCTTTTGGTTATGATTTTTACACCGTGTATTTCATCATCATCAATCAGGTCATTTAGTCTCCATTGCAGGAGCACGAGGCATCACACTCTCCAATTTTAACACAGGCAAAAAATGAAGGATTACTCCCATGCTGCCAAGATGGGTTGAGGAGGACTTACAGAAAGTTAGCAACATTCTGCAAATATTTGCCTATTTCTTGGAATTAGCCCGTGGAGCTCGCCTTTACCTTATCGATGCATGGTAGAAATGAGATGTGAGGTCAGGTGAGATGCATACGATCTGAGGAGATTCTTATAGGTACATAATACGTCTTCAAATACGTATTTACTTACTGTCCCTTATTACTTTATGTCTCTCGGTACAATGGCGATTACTATCGCTCCATGGCAGTTGCGAAGACCACGGATCACGAATTCGGTCGAAATAGTGGGGCAACAGTGGCCGATGAAAGGTGAAAATTTATCTTTGCAAATCGGTAAGTCTTTATAAACCGCCTGAAGTATTGGTAGGAAATCGATGCAGTTAGAATAACAGGATTATAAGATCTGCAGGTTTTCTCTGTCTTTTGGAACAATATTTTTACTGTACATTTAACGTTTCTTCGCTTATTTTAGGGCTGCAACAGAACACAGACAACAGAAAGAATAACTCGTTTTATGTATTTACCTTTACGAGATGTTCTTAATCTGGGTCTTTTTCACTTGACAGACATGTTTGTGAGTGAGTAGTAATATGAACCAACCCCAAACTCACCATATTTTCAAAATCTGTTTTTAGAAGCCGTACAAACTGCACCTTCATTTCAATAGTTTTAAGGCACATATTGAAAGTACACTATGCTATGGTGAAATTATACCTATAGGTACTCCAATAAAGGAATTAGTCCCGATCGCATGATAGTCCGCAATTTGTGTCTATTCTAGCGTTGCCGGTCTAATTTATAGGCATTTTGTATTGCGACGAAATGGCTTTTTAATAAGCTTTAATAAGCCGCGATTGGCTGAGCGGAATACGATGTTAACTCCACAAAAAGTTTCACAATTTACGATGTGATAAATGTTCCTAGCCCGTCCTATGCGAGCGTCGATCATAAATCAATTAAATACATGAATATTAATTAGGATAAAGGTTAACACTTACATAGTATCTTCCATGATATTATGATCAATTTTCCGCCATTATAAAACCATTAAATCTCCAGATACACAGGTAGTCACAGCCTAAAATAAAACAGACAGTCATTAATACAAGCCTGAAGACATCGCAACATGCATTATACCTGTATGCTTACCATGAGTTTACGTTAGGTGTGCTCGCTAAAAAAAGTCAATAAAGATTTTATTTTTTGGAACTAGCTGCTTGGGGCGCTATACAATTTGTCAAATACAAATAAAATAAAAATAAAATAAATAAATAAATAAACTGAGCTGTATTTCAAATTGCTGTTTTCTATTCAAAAAGTAAACCGATCAGTTAAATAGGTAGTTTGGGTCTTATGAAATTGTGTACCATGGATAGTGTTCTGGTTGTATTATCTTAGTTGTACTAAAACGTTAAACTAATTGTTTTGACTTTTTCTCACAATCGTACAATATAATTCCACTTGCCATTTTATTATGACTGTCTCCGAGTGCAAATTAAAATCGAATAAAATCGATTGCCCGTCATAATTGGCGAGTACGATTGTTCAATTGCAGTCGTATAAATGCAGTTCAATTGGCATGAATGCATTCGTAAACTGCATTTAAAAAACGATTACTTGTAGGTAGATATCAATTTCATTGATCGGTAGAAACAAAACCATTAAATACAAAGACGGACTAACCAATAAACATGAAATACTTTTTAACCACTATTGGAATAATGAATGTATGGTCGCAGAATACCGCTAGTGACGCTTTCAATAACTATTTTCACTAGAAATAGGCGCCAGAAATCTCACACACTATGTTTTCTGAATTCTTAGAAAAGTAACCAAGAGTTGATTTGGTATTCTTCATCAAACTCCGAAAAAGAAAGAGGCTCCACCCTCATCTCCTATTAAGTCGCTTAAGTTTAGAATCTAATAGGTATAGCTGTTTTGGTTTAGTTTTTTCAAACTATAGGTACAGCAGTAGTCAGTTTCAGCGCTTAAACATACGGGGTGATAAAAAGGTCCCACATTATTATTAAAATTTAAAAATGTATAAGGAGATAGAGGCTCTCTACTATGATTACTAAGAAGTATTGAAGGGTGTTATTTTTTCTACTAATTGATTAAATTACCGAACACTACATTGGTTAGTAGCCCTGTATACCAAGTGGCTACTAATTTATCTCAGCACGATAATGCCGTAAACACAGCAGATGAGTTATGCCCGCGTCGAACAATGGAGATCGTATCGACCGCACCATACCTACTAGTTACTACACTTTGTTACTCGCTGTTCTATAATAAACAGATAATCATTTAGCAAACCTTTTGTAATGCATTCAGTAAATTATAAATGAAATAAGACTTGTTTCGCTTTTGAGTCATGCTCGGTGTTTCTGTAGATCGAATCAGAAATGAGGAGATTCGTAAACGAACTAAAGCCACTGACATAGCCCGACGGATTAGCAGGCTGCAGTGGCAATGGGCAGGGCACATAGTACCTACGCAGATCTGGCGGCCGATGGGACTATGGATTCTGAAGTGGAGGCCTCGTACCGAAAAGCGCAGAAGGTGGACCGACTACGTCATAAAGGTAACAAGAAGGAACTGGACGATTTTTTAGGGTTCCGTACCTCATAAGGAAAAAACGGAACCCTTATAGGATCACTTTGTTGTCCGTCCGTCCGTCTGTCAAGACCCTTTATCTCAAGAACGCGTGAACGTATCAAGCTGAAATTCACATGAAATACTCAGGTCTATTGTCCCTTTAAGCTGTGAAAATATCAAACTTCTAAGCCAAGCCAATCAAAAGATACAGCCGATTATGTCGATATTTTCAACAAATTTTCGACACTCGCAAAGGAATCAAAACCTACAGGATACTTCCCGTAAACTCAGAATCTTGAAATTTGGCATAAAGCATTGTCATATAATGCAAATATAGGAAAAATTGCGAAAATTTCATTTTTTTAGTTATATAATATAATAAAAATATTTTAATAAAATGAAACTTACTACCTTATTTCTCACGAACGAATAAAGGTATCAAATTGAAATTTATACCAAATACCTAGATCTATTGTCCCTTTAAGAAGTAAAAAAAACTAGAGATGAAACGGATAGTGGTTTGGCCGGATACCGGATACCGGATATCCGGCGAGCTGCTAGGCCGGATAGCCGGATATCCGGCGGCCGGATAGTTGGCTCATTGTCTCGTTTTATGTCGTGACGAGTTTAGCGCCGGACAGGTGCTTCGAACGCGATCAGTGGGTCTAGTAGACTAAACAAGTCACAAGTTTCGAAAATTGAATCTGTCCGAATAGAATGTCAGATTTTGCCACTTGTCTAGGGGGCAATTCGGGCGATTTCGGTTGCCATCGTGAGTGTGTGGTTGAATAGGCAAAATTAAATTAGTTTACTTGCTGCGTAATCTGACTGAACTGCATCATTTCATCAGACCATCAGTTAAAAGAAGATCGGCTATTTTAATTGGCTAATATTTCGACATTAACAGATATTTATTTATTCAGTATTTGTCATTAGAGTGAATAGCCCAGAAAAATAAATTAGTTTTTTGAAAGGCCTTAATAATTATTTTTTTTTTTAACTTTTTGGACTTTAAATAAAAGCTTTAATTATAAGCCATGATATTTACCTCAAAGATTAATGTATTTCATTTTATTAAAGGAAATTTTCGTAGTTTTTTAATATCCGGTATCCGGCCGGATAGTGAGTTACTATCCGGTATCCGGCCGGATAGTAAATTTAGGCCGGATATCCGGCCTACCGGATAGTTACCGGATATCCGTTTCATCTCTACCGTGGACGTCATTTGGCTGAAAAGAAGAAGAATAAATAAGGTTGAGGTGGTGTCATCATGGATAAAGTAAATAAAACACTTATGTACATTCAGAATAATTATTTATTTTATCAAAGAGATTTCTAACATAGATCATTTGAAGAAGTTAACAACATTGAATATTATCATAAGATCAAATTTGTTTCACAGTTACATTGCTAAATAAAATTTATACAACAAATCATGGCATAAAAGAATAAGAATAATATTAGCCGTGTTCCTATATTAAAATAAAATAATAATATAGTACATTAAATAAAAGTAATTTGCAATCATTCAATAAATGATGCTTATATTGTTGTTTCTTATTTACTTAATAAATACTAATGGCTGTAAGTATCACATTATGTAATTTTCTGAAAAAATATATACTTATACCACTTCAATCATGGAATGAGCCTGCTCATATTTAGATTAAACAAACAGTAACATAGAAAGTTGCCTCCAGCCAGATAAATGTAGTAAATTCTACTTTTACCTACCAAATTATTCAAAAGAATAAGCTCATTTTCGGCCACGCGGCAGATATACTTTTTACAGTCGTATATAATTTGTTGAGCAGTATTGAAAGGAAGAAATACATAATATTTATAAAAAAGATACATTACAATGATTTCAGACAGTGTTGACATATTTTAATGAGAACATGTTTTATTGATATCGTATCTAAAAACAAAATGTACCCCAATAAAAGTAATCAAATAGGTACATATGTCTACGATTTCGTAGTTCGTGCATGAGGCTAAAGTGTTGCATAAGTGTCAAGTAATAGATTATAAAAGTTATAAATAGAAATAGAAACAAGTAATATTTTGCCACAAAAAATCAACTAGGCTTGATATTATACTAAAATGCAATAACAAATTAACATGCCACTTATCTTCACCCTAAAGGAGATAAAGAAAATAGAAAGTTAAGTAAATAAATAGTTTCATAAAGAAGATAAGAGTCTCATAATCAAGTAAATGTCATTACAGTTGAAAAATTAAAAGCTAATTAGTAGAAAAATATAAGATTTAATAGTCTAGAATATCCAGTATCTCTAATAGTAGCTATTAAAAAGAAGTGATTCAACAAGGTCATTACCTTGCTAATGTTTATGAATGTTTCAAAGCAAAATCACGTGCCTATTACCTTTGACCATTCACAGTTTACGTACACCATAAAAAATTAGGTTACCTACTTAAATATTTACCCCCAAGGTTCAGTGGCGAAAAAATGAACTCTTCATCGATGTTTACGGCCAACACTGGACGGAAGAAAAACATCTTGATTAGTCAGAACTAACAGAACAGATTCAAAGCCCGATCATTTTACGCATTGACTAGCGATTCGAGATATCAACAGTTTAAATTTTAAATGAAGTCTAACTTTTCATTTTGATTAACCTTCTATAAAATATGTCTCATTAGTTGTCCATCAATATAACAATCAGCTTATCCATTACATGCCTGCTATAATGGTTCATATAATTTTGTAATATGCTGTGAAAAATTGGAAGACAGTGTTTCATTGTAATTTTTAGAATTGAAACGTAAAAGAATCAATTGATTTTCTATAAAAAATACTTTATGACAACATGTAGAGAACTTATGTTGTTGTTGTTTTCAATCTTTAATTACACTGAATAACTGTAGACAGTCATAAAGCAGCGTGATTACAAACATTTAACAATAAAGCTTTCATTAATGAAATGCAACATTTAACATACATTTTACACTTTACTCAAATCAATACTTCTTATTAATATAATAGCTACAATTTTCATTGTATGATTCTTCATTTAGAACTTCATTACATATTTCATTATGTTTCACATTTATGATAGGAATATATTTATTTGTTTTATTTGTGCTTTAAACCATAATTTACTAAATGTTATAAAAAGGTAATGGAATAGTAACCAAACTAATACTGGAAATAAAAAAATAAAAAATAAATGAAGAATTGCTTACATACATATTAGTTACACAGACAGACTTACATATTTTTACCCGCTTGTAAATTAAATTTTCAGGCAGGTTTCAGACATTCATTTCTCAAAAAAGAAAATTTCTGTTACTAATAAATTGAGCTTAATAAATCATTCTTATAATAATATGTCATCAAATTAATAATCTCAATCAAATTAATGTTGTGAATGCAATTTATTAGTAACAAATTGACATGAAGTCTAAATAGTTGTTATAATAGTCAAAGTAAGTATCATCTGATACTCATGGTATAGGTTCATCTTTTATCTTTTGTTTATACCTTTAGTCCAAACACCATTTTCAGGAATTGTTCATAATGGATTGTGATGACTCCATCCTGGTCTGTGTCGTATTGACGGAATGCTGATGTTAAAGTCTGGAAATGAAAAAATAACTGGTTAATCTTATTTTCAATATAATCAACTTGTTTTAATACACAATATTTTATACTGACTTAGGATGAATCTATAGACTATCTTTATCGTCATCATATGTAAACATTGCACTAAATTACTTGTTACTTGCATACAGCTAGAATACATAAATGTATAACTTACGTATAAAGTGACGCAGCACTGAATAAAGTCATCAAACAGTATCGTCCCTCTTCCAAATCTGTCAAACTTCTGCACCATAGTATTGACCACTTCATCAGACAGTCTGTAGCCAAATGCAGTCAGGGCGTTTTTCAACTCTTGCCTGTCAATATTGCCCGAGTTGTCACGGTCAAAAGATCTGAAGCAATTTTGCCAATCGCTGACATATTTCCATAATGCCCCAAAATCTTCAAACGATATGACACCTCTGTTCTGCTTGTCAAACATACCTGAAATTAGTTATTTAAATAAAACGACTATCATCATACATTTAACCTCACCTTTCAACAACAGACAATATTAAATACTCAAAATCAAAATTATACCTTAATCTTTAAAATTTTTAACCATAAAACATACATACCAATCATAAGACGCACTGTTTCAGGGTTAAAAGGATTCCATGTGCCATTGGACAACGCTTGCTGAAGCTCATCCGCGGAAATGTAGCCACTTCTGTCCTTGTCCACCCTGTAAGAAAGATTCTTTTGTAGACCATTTCCAGAATGTAATCCAACTATAAAGTTTACGATTATAAAATATTTTTTTTTATTTAATGTGTTGTTGCTGTGAAAAGCAGTCAATCTGTAGACTTTATTATTATCAGTTTGTATTTGACCTTTGCAAACACTCCTAAGTAATGTCAATATATTTTTCACTTTACTGACGAATCTCTTAGTTATGTTAGATAACATACCTCCTAAAGATGTCCCACAGGAACTCTCTGCTGGGCATAGGTGACTGGAAACTCATTGTTACTTTGATCTGAAATAGAAATACAATTTAATATTATTAATAACTGCTACATACATATAATACAATTATCTTTAGTACCAAGGCGTAGACATGTTTTTTATTGAAGTAAACACAGGAAAATAGAAAGTACATACATTCGTGTCCCTAATAATTGGACATTAAAAACGGGTTTAACCTTGTTTACAGGCAACAAGTGCAAAAAGTGGATACTCACAGGTCTCTCGGAAAAAACTGCAAGTATTACGATTGAATTACTGGTATTGGTACTTCTGACCAGATCCTGAGCTGAGCACAAACTTAGTTTTCTTTTATATATTGATTGATGAGGTGAAATAAATTCTGGCGAAACACGGCTTCAATGACGCCTGATGAATGACGCACACAGCATAGACAGACAGCTCAACAGCTGACTCAAAAACAGTGTTGCCAGTCGGGTCTTGTCAGAAATTACCGGAAATATAAAAAAAAAATAACATTTTTGAATAAAAAGTAACCTTTCATACGATTGATATCATAAAGCTGATTAGTACTAACATCTATCAAAAGTAAAAGTAAAAGTTAATAGTACAAGTTTTATATATAATATAATAAAAATATTTTAATAAAATGAAACTTACTACCTTATTTCTCACGAACGAATAAAGGTATCAAATTGAAATTTATACCAAATACCTAGATCTATTGTCCCTTTAAGAAGTAAAAAAATCAAACTTCTAAGTTAACGCGATCAAAAGATACAGCAGTTTATACCGACACCTTAGACGAATTTCCGTCACACGCTAGGGAATCAAAACCTACAAGGTACTTCCTGTGAACTCAGAATCTTGAAATTCGGCACGAAGCAACGTTATATAGTACAGATAAAGGAAAAATTGCGAAAATGATAAATTTGAAGTTATATAAAATTTAAAATATTATTTTTGCTTACATGACATAAAATATTTTTTTAATAATTATAAACTTACTACCTACCCTTTTTCACATGAACGCGTAGAGATATTAAAGTTGAAATTCATATCAAACACTTCTTAAATCTAATTGCCTCTAAACTGTGAGAAATTCTAAATCAACGCAAAAATTCAAAATGCTGAGGTAGGTACCTACCTATAATGCAAATATAGGAAAAATAAATAAATAAAAAATAATCATACCGCATATTTTGAAATTCGCCACTACTCGCTTTTTTAATGTTAATACATTTTTCGAAATTCAAACTCCTCAGATGCATGCTGTGTGATTTTTACAGAGACAGCGAACTTATAGCGTCTTCAACGTCTAAGCTACCCACGCCACAAGGTACAGACATAAAGCCTATCTTTTCCAGAAATCACAGTAAAGTTCAAAGTTCTATTGATACGTTAGACAAAAGCAGTCCGGCAGCATCAGTCGCCAGATTGCGATCGCCATTGTGCGCGCGCGCGTAAATCACAGCGCCGCACGCGCTTCATAATTGCGTATCGTCGAATTACATCGGACACCTTGGGCTACAGTACAAAGTTGTGGTCCCATTGCAAACTACCTAAGAACAATAAACTTCAAAAAGATGCTAAGAAAATAGACATCATAAGACTAAATGGTGCCGCACTACGCGCTTAATTATTGCGTATCAATCGAATTACATCGGACACCTTGGGCTACAGTACAAAGATGTTGTGGTCCCATTGCAAACTACCTAAGCACAACCAGCTTCAAAAATATGCTTTATGACATTTCAGTTAAGTCTAGCAGCCACACAAAACCCGCCGACCGGGATCGATGTGCCGGCATGAGACAAAAGTCATAAAAAGTATGCACATGCATAGCACATAATTCGTTTGAAATAAAGCCGCCGACATTAAAACGCCGGGCTGTCAGTGGGATTCGTGTGTCCTGAGTCCTTTAAACCAGAAAAAACTTGTAGTTATAAATGCAAAAATTGATTCTAAGTAAGTATTTTAAAAGTTTAAAAAGTACGAGTAGGTATTTATACCAAACACGAAAATTCTAGCAATATAACTTTCAAACTTATGCAGAAGATCGTTTCGAAATAAAAAATAAGATATTTTATCTTTATCACATTCTACAATTAAAGTCAATCGAGATGATTGATTGTGATCGCCTTCAGTGTTATAAACAAAAAAATTATTTTACAAATATGTAGTTATGCTTGGTTCAATGCAATTATTTAATCAATTATAACTACAATTATCTAGACCTGCCATCAGAAAGTGTAAATAGTAATATATCATGGTCACAATATTGTATCTGATACAATCAAAATACACATAATCTACATGTCCAAAGAACAGAGATCGTTATATATGATGGACATTGGACGCATTTAGTTGACATTTGAAAAATAGTCAGATAGTATTAAATTAGTCATGCAACAAAATAAATTATGCTGGAAATAATTACAATTTGAAATCGACAATTTTATCCTGAATTAGATAATAATTAATAAGTATAAAATTTTAGTTAAGTAAAAAGAATCCTGAAAGAATATTCCCAGTAACACGATATTGTGTTTCGATTCACAGCCTTCTTTTTGCGACTCAACTCATGAATTAATACAATGTTCCAGATTTATTTTCAAGCTGATCACAAAAAGGGAGGGTCTCCGCAACAACATACTTCCCTCGCAACAATGTTTAGATACAATGGCAAGTGTGCACTGCAAAAGGCTGTGAGGTTCCGTAGCTAAACCATTAACTGACTTATAAGGAATCTTTACCTGAAGCATGTCCTTAAATCGTACAATTTTTAAAGTTGTACACTCTGTTTTATGTGAGTATTAGTCATTTTAAAAGAAGAAGAGAAGGAAAGAAGATGCCAAAGATACATCATAATTATAGTTAACTAGCTTTCCGCCCGCGGCTTCGCCTGCGTGGAATTTTGTCTATCACAGAAAAACTTTATCGCGCGCGGAAATTTATCAAAAACGGGAGAAAAATTATCCTATGTCCTTTCCCGGGACTCAAACTATCTCTATGCCAAATTTCATCAAAATCAGTTCAGTGGTTTGGGCGTGTAAGCAAGACAGACAGACAGACAGACTTACTTTCGCATTTATAATAATTAGTAATAGATTATACCAACATCTTAAATTCTACATTCTACTTACCTTCATCAACATTCAACAACAACATAAGGCAAGGAAAAATAGTCTATCACAACCCTCGGTTATTATTGGCTGGTGCATAGTAGTTTATGTCCATTTAATCAAATGGTCTAGCATTCAATGATCCCTAAAATATTATGAAGAGATAAAACCGCCGTATCCATATTGATACATCCTCAATTAATGTTCAATAACGTTTATCCTGATTGAGCAGGCGCAGCGCACGCTGTTATTACGTCTACTGCAACGGCTGGACCGCGCTGTATCTCTAAAGGTGAGTACAGACTAGAGCAAGGATGTACAAACCGCAGCCCGCCCCCCTGTAGGTACATACGTGCGACCTACCAGCGATCTCTCAAAAATAAATTATAACAACCTGAACTGAATCCATTGTTTTTATTTTTTGTGGCCCGCTTTAAGATCATAACTTGCCCGAGTGGTCCCTGGCCTCAGTAAGTCTGTGCATCCCTGCGTCCATTTCTATGTAATTTAACGTCTTTACTTATGGTAGGTACAATACAGGTAAAAATTCAGTTGCCAATGCTCGGCGCTCTGTGCGTAATGCTCACAGCGAGTGTTCATTACCCGACTACGGCAAAGCAAAAGGAGGGTTATGATTTTGACAGGCTATGTATGTATGTATGTATGTATGTATGTTCATGTGTTCCCTCGTAACTTCTAAACTACTTATCAGAATTCGACAAATGACATACCATTAGAAGCGTCTTAATTGTCCGCTGGTTATAGGCTATATGGGGTTTCACAAAATCTAATGTGGCGCCCTCTAGCGGACAAAACATACAGAGTAAAAAAATAAAGTTAAGATAAATATGCCGTGTTTGGTATCATTTGAAAGCGCTTTACTTGTACATTTTGAATATATATATATATTACTAGCATTTGCTTCTGACTTTACCTGTATTCATGGGCTGATTGCAAATAATTCACATCTTTTCGTTCGTAGCTTCTTTACTACTTATTAGTTCATCAATTTAACTTTTGTTAATATTATGCGCCACAAATACACTTTATCACCAAAATAGTACAAATAATAAAAAGTAAATAACTAAAACCCAACTACGACAAAAAACGACGCTGAACAAGTATAAAACAAGATTTTCAGAATACTGAACTGAACAAAGTTGCTAATGTAGTTGCATAGTAATTTTCATGTTTGGAAAGGCGTAGTCACACGTTACATATACCTACCTACCGTAGCACTTTGACAACGTGTGACTGCGGTTTTCCAAACATGAAAATTACTATGCAACTACATTAGCAACTTTGTTCAGTTCAGTATTCTGAAAATCTTGTTTTATACTTGTTCAGCGTCGTTTTTTGTCGTAGTTGGGTTTTAGTTATTTACTTTTTTTACACGTAACACTTCATCGTACCTTGCGTTCATCTTCTCACTCGTACAAAGGCTCGACCAAATGTCACATTACATACACTCATTGGTTGTACAATTAGGTAGTAACGGCGAGCGTGATTGACGTTTGGGTCGTGAAAGGATGATACACTAGAAAATTAATAGAGCGGCTCGTTTTTCTGTTAAAAGTAAATACTCTAACTCTAGTCTATACTTACCTTAATAGAACCAGGGGTAATAACTGCACACTGGCAATTTAATTGAAACATCTCCTCGACGGCATTATGTCATTACAGTTTGAAAGGTAATAGAAGGTTTAGTTTTGTTTGTAAGCGGTCACATATTATTTCGAAAGAACTCTTCTGATCGGTTAACATCCTTGATGATTGTAGCTTTATGTTCTTTCTTAATCTTGTATTATTGCAGTAGTCATGTCATTTCTATGAAATCTTGGGCCCATTTTTCTTAAAAATATCGAGTGTAGCAAAATAGATAAATATAAATACCTACCTACTTTCTGAAAAGCGAAGCTTTCATTATGTTTTACACCTTAACTGAGGAAACAGTTTTCATTTTTAAATTCAAACTTGAAGAAAATATGTTAAAAGACTTGAAATTGAGAAAAAGATGATAAAAGTTTGTAAGAAAAACTCTATAATATGATGCAACGTTTCATCCGAAGATAAATATTTTGCAGATGATTCGACATCTAATAATTTGAAAGGGAGACAATAATGTAACCTTGACGTCATTAAGAATTAATGTTTTCAAAACAGTTCTGTGACAAAAATACACACGACTAAGTTTCAGGCAAAAACTGGACAATAATTTTAGAGCATACTTATGAAGAACGTATTTATATTAATGGTAATCAAGCAAAAGAAACACTCAATGGCCACAACACCATGTTCAAACAGTTTTTGTCCGTCAACATC